CTCTCTCTCTCTCTCTCTCTCTCTCTCTCTCTCTCTCTCTCTCTTCTCTGCAGTCTTGACTAAATAAGAAGTAGTTCTCTTAAAAAAAAAATGTCTTCAAGATGCCCAGATATCAACAAATGCCTATCAAATTATGGATTTTCTTTTCCTGCTTGGGCCATGTTTACCTAGCACAGGTGTTGAAGTGAAGATGGAATGGAAATGGTGCACTTTCCCCAGAAGGGGGTCATTCTCACTCAAATGAAAATAGCGTTTTGAAGCACTCTTTAGTACAAAGAGCATTGCAAGATGTGGATACCTTTGCACAAAAACGCAATATTGATGCTTAGCATTGCGGAGAAATCATGCGCCTTGTGAATTAAAATCTAGAATCTGTTTTCTTTCAAGTGAAACTATGGCCATCTATTTAGATACATCCCAGTTGTATGAAAACAACTTTCAATTGATGATTTGTTTAACGGTCTGAAGGGGGCCAAATGCTTGCTTTCAGACTTTTCTCCCCTCCAGAATAATTTGAGGTTCAAAAAACTTGTAGCATTTCCATTTTACTTAGCCTCAGGTCGGACTCTATGTTGATCTGTCTATTTTTCTCTTTCTGTCCCTTTCCCCCCACTTTTTTCCTTCTTCACGTTCTTTTAAAGTCACATGTTTTGTCAAAATTCCTTTTCTCTGTTAACACAATCACAATTTATGATAGTGTTTACACGAATGACACGCCTAGAGGCAATTTTTAGTTGAGGGCATATTGACGGAAAAAATTGGAAGAGGTTACCCCATTTAAGATTTTTTTTCTTTCTGGGACAGGTCTTGTGATGAATGATCAGTCAGCATATGGTGTATTACCCATTACACTTTTCATGTCATTCAACTCATTTCTACAATTTTCCCTTGTTTGAAGGATGTAGAGATGGAGATGGAGAATGAGAGATAGTGAGAGAAAGTGAGAGAGAGAGAAAGTGAGAGAGAGAAGAAGAACTAGGAGGAAAGGTTGAGGAGAGCAAGAGAAAGACAAGAATAACAGACAGAGAGAAGAGATAGAGAAGGAATAACAGAGGAGAGAGAAGTAGAGAGAAGTGAGAGAGAAGGAGTAGGAGAAAAGGTTGAGGAGAGCAAGAGAAAGAAAGAAACACAAGAATAACAGACAGAGAGAAGAGAAAAAAGGAATATTAACAGAGGAGAGAGAAGAAGAAGAAGGATAAGAAGAAGGAAAGGTTGAGGAGAGCAAGAGAAAGAAAGAAACACAAGAGTAACAGACAGAGAGAAGAGAAAAAAGGAATATTAACAGAGGAGAGAGAAGAAGAAGAAGGAAAGGTTGAGGAGAGCAAGAGAAAGGAAGAGATACATGAATAACAGACAGAGAAGAGAGAGAGAGATAAGGAATAACAGGAGAGAGGTAGAGAAAGAGAACGAGAGCAAGTAAAATGACTATAATTATCTACATTATCATTTATTGTCTACAATGCCTTCACCCATCTGTATCGTTTAATAGATCAATATAATTATATTGTGTTGTGATTGTTACATTCTATCGATTAAAAAACACAATTTTGTTGTAAAATGAGCCAAGCTGTAAAGTGCAGGTGTCTTTGCTCTAGATCTCTTTTCACCTTTTCTTCTCTAAACGATACCTGTTTTGCATCTGTCTTGCATGTGACACACATTTTGTTCTTGATGCAACCCTCTTCCTCTGACAGAAAGTGAAGGGCACAATTTTTTGAAAATCATCTTACCAAGTTGAGGAAGGGTCTAGGCTGACGTTTCTGAGTACGTACCTCTCTCCTACCTGTCGCTCTTGACATCTTTCATAAATAGAAGAGTCAAAGAAGATGCCCTACTTCTCCACCCTCACCTTCAACGTCTTTAATTGCATCATACAAAAGTAAAATATCTTTTTGAATAGTTTCTGTTACATAAGAAAATAAATGTCAAGGTGATGTTTTGAATCATATAGGTTTTTTTGTTCATTGATTTAAAAAAAAAAAATTATTGAAAATTATATTTACTAGATCGTGGACAGAATGATTAATCAGTTATGGTCATTCAATTTTTTAGATTGCTTATGGACATGACTTTCTAAGAAATGAATTTTTTGCTGGAATAACTTCGCTCCCTTGATCGCCTTGAAGGCAAACATAGATGTACAGAATAAGTAGGTCATTTGTCATAATTTCTTTCAAGTTAATTCAACCAATATGTCATGAAAACTTGTTAGAGGATCTACACAATACTGTGTCACCGATCTTGTAGGCAATATTCTGTACTTGTATTCAACTTTCAGCTTTTTAATTTTGACTCGTCGTCTGGGCATACAAATAGATGTAACCATTTTCCTCTGCCATTTCCTATTTAATATCCTGTTAGTCTCTGGTTCCACAGTGTAAGCAAATATTGCCCATCTGTAAATAGCCTCAAAAATTAATAATTGGAGCGTGGTTTCTATTTTTTCGGAACGGAATCGTGCCATGTTTGTTTTGCGCCATATTCCACCCCACAGTGTCAA